CTTCCACAGTTCTTGAAATACTAAGGGTTACCCAGCCCATAAATGCAATATTTAACAGCTCAGTGCACTTGAATATGTGGCTCTTGTTAGACAAAATGAACCCATGAGAGGACAAGTCATGTTTTGAAGCTGTAAGTTATTTATTATTTTTAACTGTAATAAAAGCATCTCTATGAAAAGCATATTTAAATATCTGATTCCAAGGATGAAGTCTGTCCTGCAAGGGAGTAGCTGCTGACCTAACAGTCTAAACACTGTAAATACTATACTTCAAAGACATGCAGAAAAGACTGGACCATGCCCACCCGAAAGAGAAATAACTTACAAAATAATAGGTTTCAAAACAGTTGTGCCAAAATATCAAGACCTCTGGGCAAGTTCAGCACAATAAAATTCCTTAGATGGTGGGAAATGAGTAGAAAATAAACCATTGATTAGATTTTAAATAATGATGAAACACTGCAAATAATGATGAAATACTGCAAAACAGCAAAACTTGTAAATGGAGAAGAGATGAACAATAAAAACGCTGACTACTACATTATTAAGGCTTTAGAGCTACTCAGAAGAGGATAAAACTGCAAATTTAAATCAAGAGCAGCATTTTATTTTGACATTGTTTTTCAAAACACAATAGTCCTAAAAGTAGCAACTTCAAAGACTAAAAAAAGCAGAAAGTAGCCTATGTGAAGTTTAGCGTGTTCTCAAAAATCAGTAGCTTTATCTAATACCCAGCAGCATATCACTCACAACTAAGACCATTCCAAGACCATAAAAGAAAGTACAGTATTATAAAACTTGGTTTGGTGGTTGACCACGTCATCCATGGAGGCCCCAGGTTTACATCATTACCTTAAATAAAACATAGGCCTCCAATAAAATTGTCTTTTACAAAACCAATGCTGTTATAATAGCACAGGAGGCTAGATAATGCATCCTGCAATCAAATTTGTGGTTCATGTTAAGCTATAGACACCAATAACTAATTCCACATGTGAGACAGACCTCCTGGGGGGAGATTTTAATCAAATAACTGATGGGAAAAGATACATTTCCCTATTTTGGTATAACAAACCCCCTGTACTAACAATATGTTGATCTGGTAAAATGTTACTGTACTGTAGCAGTGCAACATTAGTAGAACTTACATCTGGTTTAGTTATTCCTGTATGGCAGTTTGTATACATAAGCCACAGAGCAATAAATACTTTATCATTACCATTATATTAAAAATGAGCTTTATATGCATTTGCTCCACCTTTTAAACTGCTGATATTATTTAGATCCACTCACAGCTTAAAAAGAACAACAAAACAACCAAGCAAACAAAAAGAAAACCTAAAAAACCCACCAGATTAAAAAAGAGCAGCACAGTAGGGTTTATATTAGCTTTGTACTGTTAATTGAACAGAAGACTGTTGATTAATGCTTCTGCACTCAAGCTAAATATTGCAAGTACAAAACAATTAAGCCTCTGTATTTGCATATTTTCTGTAATAACAAACTTGATCACAGCTCTCTCACAGTCAAGCTCGCCCTCCCAGTCCTATACCTCTGGTGGTTTAACTTGCACAACTCCAGCTGCTGACAGGTACAATCTCTAATACCTATCACAGCTGACAACTCAATCAATCTGCATAGCTGCAATGCAACATACGCTGGAAATTACTCAAGGTCTAGAATCTTGAAAAATAAAACAGAAGTCTAATAACTTACTTCCACAAGGAATGCTTTACCCCAGTAGAACACCACTTTTTCAATTACTCTCATTTCAGACAACTCATTTATGACTGCAATAAATACAATTCCATTAAAATCTTCTAACTCAAAGGCAGTGCATACCTTCTTGTCAGCCAGTCAGAATAAAATAGAGCTAACCAAATGAAATAGAGTCCAGACTGACAACTTTTCCAGCCAGAGCGAGAGCATCACAGGCAGACAGGAATACAAGACTTGGCAAAAGAAAAAAAATCAGCAGCCAAGTTCTACTGAATAACCAGTACATAGATGACAGAGGAAAGAGCTGGATAGTTTAATAAGTGGCAACAATATATATTTTTAAGATGCCTCAAGAATAGCTTCTAAATAAGGGACAGCATTAATCTGCTCAGCTAGTGGTCCAGTTTTGCAGCTACCTTGTTTAGAAGCCCTGCCAGTTTACTTTAATTGCACTGGGATGTTTTCATGTTCTCGATGTGACAAATAAGGATGCACACGATAACTGGTCCTGTGTAGTAGCCATCATTTTATATCATTGCATACTTGGCCCAAAGATAAAAACACAATGGATAAAAATAGGCTTGTCACCCAATACCATATCCTACCACCAGCTGGAGCATTTTTCAAGTTGCTTGTACCAGCTCATACTTTCCTGACCATCCTGAAGATGGTCAGTAGTTCTACTATTCTTTAAACATAAATAATTGTGTCTCATTTTCCCCAGTGGTTGAAAGCCACAGTCTGGCAGCATACCAGCCCAGGTCCTTAACCATCCCCTCCTCCAAATTCATCTCTCTCCATTCCTTGTTTCTTTGCCCACACTCCATCTTTCCTCCCACTCTTAGTCAGTACAGCTATTTGTAGCACAATGCAAGGACTGAATACAACTGAACTGATTCAGGTTTAAAGTAACTCCTAAAAGATGTATCTGGGATATTTGGGGTGAGCCGTTTAAAGGTTGTTTTTTTGCCTGCATTTCCTCTCAGTTGGGTTTGCAGCACAGTCTAGGATACAGCTCTATCAGCTCAGTGGGACAGGGCTGAGCTAAAGGTTAGGTAGACCAAAAGGACCTTTCTACTGTTCCATCACAAAGCATTCAGTTACTGCTTACTTAGGTAGCACAGGCTTGAGCTCACCAAGTTTTAAATAATTTTTCTTTCTTTGCCCTCTAACACCCTACAAAAGACTACAACTTTTTCCTCAACTGACTTTTTCGATGCCTTTTTTTCCCCTTTCTTCTGAAGTTGCCCTCTCCCAATATTACATCAGGAAAACACAAAGAACAAATTCCAGAACACGTCTGTGGACACAATTCTTTCTAATTTGTTCAGGCTGAACAGCACTCAGCCTGAACATATCTGCAAGAAACATGCAGCCTAGTAATTTAGTGAATTAAAAAATGCATTTCTGGCCAATAACCAAAATATTCATATTATCATTCAATGTAGTCTCTCCCTGTTAAACTGTCTCCAGCAAAAATCAAATCTCCACAAACGTCTGTAATCTACAAATTACTATTTCTAGCATTACAGTTGAAAAAATAGATTTTCAAAGACACTGACTTTCTGTCCAAGACAACTCTGATGCTGGGTGCAAAAAAACCTCACAAGCCAGGTGTCCAAATTTAGAGCTACACACTTAGGAAGAGAGACCTTGTGTTCAAAAAGTTAGGATGTGGAAGCTTGGATTTCACCTGTGTCATTCAGGTCTCTTCTGGACCAATTTTACTCTGGCGCTGGTATGGAAAAGGAGGAAAGAGGTGAGAACAAGCTTTTCTCAATTAAAAGTTCATCAGAAACATCAGCAAAGACTTTGGATTTGAGCAATGAGTGTTCAATAATAAGAACTTTCTAGATGTTCAGAATTTTCTGTCATATTAATGTTTTTACCACTGTTTAATTCCATAAGATAGAGCAACACTTGAGTTATTAACTGAACTTCTTGAAGCACTTGAAAAAGTCTCACCTTTGTGGCTTTCAGTAAAAAGCCGGCTGTTGTAGATGTACTTTAAGGAAAAAATTAATGCAATTAATTAATTCTGCTCAGTGTTAGATGCACAATGTGCCATATAGTATTTGGCTACTGACATTAAGAAGTCTTACATATGTCATTATACATGAGTAAAAAGACCCAAATATGTGTATGTATATATATGAAATTATTCTTTCCTTTTCCATTTTTCAAAAAAGAGCATAATAAATAAATCAACACCTTAGAGCAGTTTAAGAGGAAATTACAAGTGACTAGGTGTTTTGTTTTTTTTACACTACTACTTTCTTTTTATATTACAGCTATACAGTCTGTACAAAGAGAAATCATCACTGCTTTATCAAAATCTACAATTTCTTTTCAATCCATTTGGACGAGAAATCAAAATTTTCAAATCAAGGTGTTTGAGACAAATAAAAGCAATGAAACAAAATACATTCTTGCAATCTACATCTCACTGAAAAATGTGACAACACGTCCATATGAAACACTGTTATCCTTTTGACAAGACAGTATTTTTCTGAAAGACAACCATTTCACTGAAAAGAAAATTACATATACTGAGCTTACTCATTTGTACAGCAACTGCTGTTAAGGACTTTTGGTTTTAACTGGAGTTTCTGAGTACCACTAAAATACACACAGTTTTGTGAGTGGGAAGCTAGGGGGTTTGGTGAGATTGTTTGTTTGCTCATTTTACTTGTATGTTCTTGGAGAAGAAGAAGAAATAATTCCTATTAAAAAATAGGAAATACTTGTTTTATTAAGGCAATAATACATTTAATCATAGCTCCTACTAGGGGAAGAAAAAAATGCCAAAGGCATGCACCAAGTCCTATGCATCTCTGTTAAAGTAGAACAATAAGAGTTTTATCTTTGCCTCAGGGAGCAAAGCTGATGATATCAGCTGCTGCATTTGCACGCCTGACCAAACTAAGCTGAGTTTGCAAGATACAAGAGGATAAGAGCATGAATGAATTCTTTGCAAAAGGCAGTCAGATATCCAGTGCTTGACAGTAAAGAGAATGAGGGAGCTGCTGGAACTAAGGAAAGTAATTGAAAAAACCCATCCCCAGCATCGAGTAACAGCAACGGCTAATAGCATACTGCTTAAACAAAATGTAAAAAGACCCTAATAAAGCTCTTCAAGTGTTCTTTCAGCATTAAGCATTTGAACTTATTTTTGGGAGTTGACTAAACTACTAAGAAATACTGTGTACTCAAAAACTCACTTATCACCTGTTTAGCAGTGAATGGTGCCTCACAAATAGCATACCACAAAGGAGACTCACCTTGTATAAAGCAGAAATGATCTGATGCATTTTCAGTCGATGAAATACAAAGATATCGTACACAGCTGAAATGGCCAGAACAGTCACTCCTTGCTCCTTCCACAGCATGCTGCATCCGGCACACAGCCCTGCTCCCAAGATCCAGCCCCAAGTACTTGGTGAGGAACCTCTGGTAGAGCAGTGCTTCACGTAACACATGAGGGAAAGCAGAAAGAAGAGGCAGGCTCCAATATCTGCCCTCCCTACAATCCCTGCTACGGCTTCCGTGTGGATGGGATGAGATGCAAACAGCAGGCCTGCTATCAAGGTCCAGTACCCATCGCCAAAGAGAATCCTGGAGAAGTTTGTGAAAAGGCCAGTGACTGCAGCATGTAAGAGGACATTTACAAGGTGGTAGCCCCAGGGGTCCATTCCCCCAACAGCATGGTTAATGCGGAAGGAAAGTGTGCAGAGAGGTCTGTAGGACTTGTGGCTCCCACTGTGAGTCAGCAGCGTCCCCCAAAAGTCATTGTAGAAGATATGGATCCACGGCGTCTCAGGCAAAAGGTCCTGGTTTGTCTTGATAGCTCGACTACAAAAGACAAATAAAAACTTCATTTTAGCAGAACAAAATGGCTACAAATGAAAGGTTGTGAAAATGCAATCACACTGCTACAAGAAAAATAATGGCATTGCTTTGGTGCTGCTTCAATTCAAGTTTTGAATGTTAACAGGAGGTGTTAAAAAACTACGTATCTATTGACTTCCTTCTAGAGCAAAATTTCCATATAAATTGGCTTTTAAAACATTAGAAACAGACATTATGCTGTTTCCATTAAATTAAAACACCCTTCAGTGACATTCTTCTGAATCTAACCCAGGAGTAATCAGTTAAGATTTGATGAGTTGTAATTAAAATGTAAAAGAAATATGAAAATCTTGCAAACATTATTGTTGAAACAATGGATCCTCCATAAATCTGAACTAAAACCCCAACTGTCTTTTATACTGAAATTTTAATTTAGATATTGGAATGGATTTTGCTAACATGAATAAGCAATAAATACAGAAGTTGGTAAGAGTGTCAATTTTCTGCTTCTTGACAGGGCACTCCCCTTGTATAATTTTCTTGTGCGTATTTTGACTGACAACATTTTCTACAACACTTTGCTGAAGACAGACAACAGAATATTTTACAGAATAAAATACACTTTCTTTTTAAATTTCTCGCATTTCCAATTGAAGGAAAAAAACATTTTTACATTGCACTAGCTTATGAATTCATGTCTGTCAGCTTGCTTAGAAAAAAAATGCTGCAGCTTCCAGCATTTATGCTTACAACCACACTGGCAAGAACTCATGCCAGCCATTAGCAGTCTCTATGTCTAATTCGTTACTGTAAAAATCTGTTTCCTACAGTATTTGCACAAATCCAAAGATTTGCATTTAGATTTATGCAGTGGGAGAAGGTGTGAGACCTGCTTCGTGCAAAGAGATGACTAGAATTTAATTAGTTACTTGTATTTAAGCAATTATTTAAAGATGCATTGTTGTTACTATTGAGCTTAACTCATTTAGCATTTATTTTATTAGGGTAATTAAGAATTCAGCCCGATCAAGACTCTTCTATTCAAAATACTAAACAAGAGAGATTATTTATATCTCATTCTCCATTAAAAATCTCTATCCACCGTACCGATAAATACTGTCCTATATTATTAATTTTTCAATTCATATTAGGAAGGAAAAAAAAAAGGTGTGAAACTCAAGCCATTTAAAATGCATGACTAATTCATACTTCAAGACTCTCCTCACATTCTCCATTTCCTTAGAACCTGTATGCAAATTCTCTTTTTTTTGGTGATATTAATTTCAGCAATGTTATCTTGTCCTGGGAAGAAAAATGCTCAAAACTGATACACTGCATCACAGAATCTCCATGCAAATACTCCAAATACCACACAGCTCAGCATTCCCATTGTCCAAGCATCCTGCTGTAATGCTTTCAGACACGCTTCCTCTCAGCATGTCCTTTTGTCTATGAGCACACAGAGGTTATAGAGAGGTCAGCTTAAATCCTTTAAAGATCTGATGATGCTTTTTAGAATATTTGAAAATTTTCATTTTGACTTCTGCTTATGCATTGGGTTAGGTTGCCTGTATTTGTTTTCCCAACCCCACACACATTTTTCTCATTTTCGGCAAGTCACAAAAGAACACTAGAGAAAAACAAGATCACTGTTTCCACATTATTTATCATATCCTTCTGTGTTGTCCTTTCTTGAAATCGAATTCCTCTATTTGTAGTATAACGCTCAGAACCACTATCAGAAACCTAGGAATTTGGCAAAAATAAAGCAGGTGTCAGGCAAGAAAGAGTCCTTTCTCAGAGAAAAACATAATATATTAGACAACAAACTTCCAAGAATGGCTATCAGATGTCAGGATTTAGAGCTGAAACCCTGAACTGCCGAAGTGTTTTTTCTTGGGGAAGTAATAAGAAAGTAAGTGGCAACAACATGGCCAGCACAACCACTCTCCTCCGAGGCAGAGCATGCTTCTACAAAAAGCCCAGACAGTTCCCAGGTTGTTCCCAGGAAATGGCAGCTTTTAGTATTTCTTTTTCCTTCTAAGCTGATAGTTTTCATGCAGCAGACACTCATATTGAACTCATGCCTACCAAAAGTAAACTGTTTGTATCATAAAGAAACCTAGTGTACATTCCAAAGGTATTAATTCAGTCACATCTTATTCACAGCTTTAGCAACAAATTTCATGCATCCTTGATCCTTTTCTGTTTAGACCTGTCCATATTAAAGATTAAAACAAAGAAACAGACAACAAAAAAAGCCCCATACACAAGAAAAAAATCAAAAGGAAGCCCTGAAGATAGAGTATTGATCAAATTGTATTTGGGTATGGATTTCAGCAGGCAGTTGCATAATACTCCTAGTTTCTTGTGTATGTAAACCCAACAAATTCCAGTATCTGCCATCAGCATGAAGAATACAGAAGCTGACAGTTCCACCTTACTCATTGTTTAGTCACATCAAATGCTGTATTTTCTACAGATCAAAATTTTAAATAAAGTTAAAATTTCTGGCTGTATGTTTTCCATATGGTTCCAAGGGCACTAATGAGTCTTGACAGCCTGACCCCCGTCCCAAGATTCCCACACCCTTCCCACAGTCCCATGACCTCATGTCAGGTCCCCGATGATGTGTGAGTGTCCCAAGGCCATCAGCCCCTGCCCCAGGGACACCTCAGCAGGACCAGCCTTCAGTTACCCAGACCCTACCCTGCAAGGGTCTTGCTGAGCTGAACCTGCATCCCAGCCTGCCCTTCCCCCGGGAAGTGCCCAATGCCCAGGGCATGGGCTGCCCTGGCTCCTGGCTGTGGCAAGGCTCTGTTTTTTCTCTAGTTGCTGAATCACCAAGCTGTTAACCCTGCTTGGTCTCCAGTTCCAGCAGAAATTCTGAAAGCAACACTTCCTCACAGCCTGGTAGTAGTGTGAACTTGTCTCCAGTAAAGCCTCCTGTGGGAGCAGCCACCCTGCCTCTCCACAGATAGAAAATGATAATAATTGCTGGCTCTGGAAAAGATTCTGGGATAAAGGAAATTACAAAACACCGTATTAGCCTTGCTTTCTGCTTCACTCACAGTTTACCTTGAGGTTATGTACTGCAAATTAGTCCAATTTTGCTAATGGGCATAAGAGAAGCAACTCATCATTCTTCACCAGAGTTGCAAACTCTGCTCTCGCTAAAAGGCAGCCGGTCACTTGAGAAAGTCATTTCTCAAAATTCCAACACAATTGACATTTTACTTCCAAGCAGCCTCTGAGTAGGATTGCACACTCAAGCAGGGAACTTGTTTTCTTCAATTTGCAATGCCTGCCCATTTCACACATCCCAGGAGAATGGGCTATCTTATTCAGTGTATAACAAATGGGCATGCTGGGGGTAGGGGAAAGGAAAGGAATTAGATTTAGTTATCAGTGCTTCAGAAACAGAAAGCTGGAGAAAGACAAGAAATTGTAAAGACGAAATCATCATTTCTAATCCACTCGAAACAATGCTTCTGCCTCTGCCATAAATCACTTATTTGCCACAGGTCAGTACACACCTTGAGCATGAATCACTGAGCGTTTATTCACCAAACCTAAAAATGCCAGAGATACAGCCAATCACACGTGCACATATACATGCATGAGCACACAAAAAAATTCCAGATGTTTTCAAAATTAACAGCTATGTATGTCCTAAACTTCTGTGCTGGTGTTAAACTGATCCAGGTGTTAACACTAGGGTAAAAAAACAGATGCAACATTCTAAAGTGATTTAACGAGTTAAGCCTTATATCCAGCTTCAATATTGCTAATGGTCCCCATATGCTGAAAATTACCAATTGCATTTGAAGTAGACAACATATTTTAAAGGAAAAGGAGAATTCCCAACTGTGCATCCAGGAAGCCATTGACCAGACATCTCTCACATAAAATAGATAGTCAGTGATGGACTGGCAAAGTTGAATACAGAGGTTCATTGTTGTTTTTCTTCAGTCATTTTTAAACAGTATTAATTTAGTGCTTTGATTCTTGAATAGGAATTGGAAAACACCCTAGGGTATTTTTACACTGGATATTAATGAGACACCCTTAGGAGGCTTTCAAGACTATACGTTACTTATATAGGACAACAAGACTGAAAACACAGCCAAGAGCCTACTTGCTTGAGTACAAACAGCTTTACATCTCCAAAACATACAGCAGCTAAGTAAATCCTCCAAACTACTTACAGGTTCTTAGGTAGGTGGTGGTCAGAAAGCAGGGAAGTAGAACTTGTCATACTTGCCTGCAGACTAAAATATATATATATATATATATATATCTATATATATATATATAGATAGAGACACACATATATATACTTTTTTTTTCATTGTCTGTACTGACAGGATAAAATAAAAGTCAGAAAATACTACTTAATATGCAGAGATGTCTTAAAGTAATAAGCTTAAGTACATGAAAACACATTCATCTAAATGTTTAATTATAGACTCAAGGGAACTACTTGCCATTCTGGCAGAAATCTCTGGCAATTATGTCTGACATGTTGTGTATTAAAGTTCATCTTTCTCAACAGCTGTTAAAGTGGAATTTACCTTCAAATCCAGCCGGTAGTAAAGTTTTACCCATGGCACTTCACAAAAAAAGACCCACCAAAAACAACAACAAAGGAACACCACCCCCTAAAAAAACAACACCCAAAAATCAAGCCCCAAACCACAGACCTCTATAGCATATATCAACTAGGACACCTGCAGGAGACCAAAATCTGTGCATCCTCTGAGTTTCAAGTTGCAGCTTTTGGATTGTCTCAAGAAAATTTATTTTTAGGTGAATCTCTAAAGAAAATCTAATAATTCAGCTGTTTTCAGAAAGGAAATACTTGGCAATAACTAGCTAAGTGACATACAGGATCCTGAGCAGCTAGCTGGCTCTGAGAATGGGTCTATACATATAGATTTTGACAGAAATACCTAGGTTAAACTAATTTTTAAAATAATTTAAGGAAAATGTAACATCACAAA